TACACCTAAATCTTCCCAAGAGGAGGCATCCTGGAACACAGTTAAGACTTGAGTAATTTATATCCTCTGATGTTTTACCAAGCAGCAGGATAAGGTAGATGTTTTACACTGCTCTGGAAAACATTTTCCTTCATTAAACTTTAAAATATCTTGAGATAATATTTATGCCTATACATGCCTTTTTCTCCACTTTAAGTTATGCCACAGTAACTATGGTGAGCAAAAGAAACAGTTGGGATGAATATCAGCATATTTAATTAAAATACTCTCCATTATACAACATTGTGTAGTACTGAAAAGCCCACGGGATTTTGCCACTGACTTGAGTAAAGCTGGTATTTCACTCACAGCCATCACACAGGTACCTCAAAAATGCTCCTAAGCACCTCTTAGGCTAATGAAAGCAGCAGCTTGGCTTGCAGACGTTGCCTCCCTGGCATCTTTAACCTAAGAGGGCTACAAAAACACCACAGCCCTCTGCACAGCAGGATGCCTTTTGGGCTGGTTTTTCCATGCCAATTGGTGAGAGTTATAATCACACGCACTAAACAGAATCATTTTTGTTTGTTACACTCAGTACAGTACTACGAAGCTATTGATTCTCTGTAGATTTGTTTTGGAGAAAGCCTCTCAGCTTTCCTTGGTCACATACACATGCCCCTTTTCCCCCAGTGCACCATGGATTAGGGAACCAAACTTAGCAGAAGAAAAGCTGAAGTTTTCTTTGGCAGGTTGGCCAAGATACCCTAATGACAGCTTTGAAAAAAGTCCCCATCTTCCCAGTGATCTACAAGCCACAGTTCCCAGGATCCTCAAAGGAACAGCCAGGGAAAACAAAGAGCTTTCAAAGCTGCTTTTCACTCCCTTGCAGCTTGAAGCCCCAGCTTTCACACTGGGTATGGTACCATGAAGGGCAAATCCGTCTGGACGGACAGTCTGGTGGGGCACTCTGAAGGTCTGGCTACGCACAGCTAGTCAGAACAGGACACAAACTGAAGCTGATTTTGGCAAGCACCCTACACCGCACCAGCATCACTGGAGAAGGCTTCAGGACGCATGAGGGGCACCTACTTCCCACGGGGGCACCTACTTCCCACGGCCCACAGGCCACCGTGGTGGCAGGCAGCATGCAATAGCTTCCACTACCAAATCAACTATCTGATGACGACTATCACTGTCAGAAATGTTCGTTAGAATTACAGTTCCATTAATTTATTGTCAGGGCCCTGAGGGCCCAGGACCCCATGTCAGCTCCCCTGGGGCCATCAGCCTCTGTCCCAACATTGCCACAGCAGGGCCAGTCTCCAGCTCCCCACAGCCCTGCCCTGCCCAGCCATGGGTCCCACCAAGCTGGGCCCACTGGTGGGCCCATGGCCCATCCTGGCCTCGGCACATGCCCATCCCCAGGGAAGTGCCTGATGCCCATGGGAGTGGATCCCCATGGATGCACTAGTACCCATAGGGATTTCACCTGCACCCAGCCCCCAGGGAGCAGCCACCCATGCAGTGCCCTGACATGTATTTCCTTAATTGTGTATTGAATTGCTTGTAATCATGGTTGGGATTCCCATGTGCTATTGGTTAAGAAATTGCTTGTATTTTAAAAGCTTTTAATTTTCATTGATCTTTGTGTGTGCATATACCAGCTTAAATTTGTGCCTCTCTTTTCCTATAGCATATTACAAAAGCCCTTTTTTTCTTGCACTACAGGACAGAGAAAAGCTAAAAGAGAAATTAGTGTGTTTATTCCTGAGAACAGAAGGATCGTAGAAAAAGAAATGCCACACACACACACACACCCACAATGTCTCTCCTCCACACTAACAGAGACATCCTACACTCCAGTGATCGTGGCCCCAAGCCCTGGGATGGCAGGCTCAGCATGGACGGGGAAAAGCTTCTCTGTGAAGCTCCCCTTGAAACTTGATTAAACTATCGACTCAGTAAGGATTAAAAGTAAAACAGTCAAAAAAGATTGCTATCACAGTCTTAACAGCTGGGAGTCAGGAGTTTCCTGGAGTTTTCCGAGAAGATACAGCACAAGAGACCAGGGGATACTGGAGTTGACCAAATATCCTTTTCTCTGTGGTCCTGGGAGGTGATGGGATCAGCTGTCCCCACATTCTCTTTTGCTTTCCAGTGGCTCACACCAACATGAGCCCTCTGCAGAGCTAACTCCAGGGAACCAGCCCCCTGCCACTGAAATCTCTTAAAGACAACGTGTGAATGCACTTGCGGTGTCTCCAGGAGAGATTCATCACATGCAGTGTTCACATGAATTTTCTCAGTCATTATTGTCAAACAAACTTGCAAAATGTCAGACCCATTTCTTCAATGATTACTGTCACAAATCTAATCAACTGCATACTGTGCTGGATGCAGGTCACAACCAAATCATAATTTTCATTGATTTTCCAGATTTTGATTAAAACCCTAAAACCTTTAATACTGCAAATTCAATTTAAAAAACTCATTATTTTTAACAAAGATCCCCTTATAAGATTTTAAAATCTCTCCTTGACCTCCTAAATATTCGGCACAGCATGTGCTTGCAAGCCTGAAATTATTACTCTGTTTGCTATGGTTTCTTTTATTATGCTATTATACAAGACTGTTGTACTTTATCATTTGTAGCACATTACCTCAGACTTGTTCAGGTACAAAGATGGGCTTCTAGGATGATCAGGGGATAGAGAACCTACCATATGAGAAGACAGAATGAAGAGCTTGGCTTGTGCGGCTTAGCAAAATAGAGGCTGTTAAGGGATCCAGTTGCTATCTATAAATATATCGCGGAGGCAAACATTAGGGAGATGGGAGAGC